AAATGTAGCTTACAGAATAGCTATAAGTCTTGATTTCAGTATTCTACAGATGGCCCACGTGCTTGCAAAATGACAGCAAGTTGCGAATTAGGAAAACTAGAAGGAACTAGATCTGTCCTGACTGCTGCCTTCTCAAGTGACATAATATAATAACCTGATAATAATATGATACCATATTGTGTACCACTGGGGACTAGATCTTATTTTAATCTCGTTACCCCAAAATTGCTGCGTATAGAATAGACTTTTATAAACATTGGCTTGATTTTGTCCTTTTTATTCACTTCACAGTGTGTTCCATGATGTTTGTAAATATGAGACTACAATTACAAGGAGCTGTGACTGTTGATATTTAGATAATAGCTAACATGCCATTGAATGTTTTCTACATGCCAGACACTGTCCTAAGTGTTATGTGTTATGTGATTTAATTTTCAAAAACTTTAGGAGGTAGATAAAACTGTTACTCCCAAGTAAGCCCAGAGGAGTAAGTTAACTTGCCCCAGTTTACACAATTGGAAAGTGGTGGGAGTGGGCTTTAACAGAGGCACCCTGTCCCAACATCCTGAACTCTTCTAACTTACTGTATTTTATTTTATTTTTCTTGATTATTTTTCCTAAAAGCCTGTACAGATCAGTTATAATTATTTGTGTGTATTAAAATATAGCATTATGGGGCGCCTGGGTGGCTCAGTTGGTTAGGCGACTGCCTTCGGCTCAGGTCATGATCCTGGAGTCCCGGGATCGAGTCCCGCATCGGGTTCCCTGCTCAGTGGGGAGTCTGCTTCTCCCTCTGACCCTCCCCGCTCTCATGCTCTCTCTCTGCCATTCTCTCTCTCAAATAAAAAAAAAAAAAAATCTTTAAAAAAATAAAATATAGCATTATGTCTTAATACTGTTTGATATCAAAGCTATGTTTAAAAGTATATGAAATTGCCATTATTAAACCATTTTGACCTACAAAAATGGCTATTTCATATGGTTCAAGCTAATGATATATTTGAAAAAGCAGCCTGCCCCCAAACTTTAATTCCATTTACTATGCTTTCAAAGCTCTTGGTTTAAAATCTTTCTCCCCCATTTTTAACCACCAGACTCTTTTTAACTGGCTCTCCCAGGAATGAGACATATTAGTAGGAACTGGAAAGACCATCAATTTTCTCACCATGTAGACCTGGGTTCTACATATTATTGGCCAAGATCCTCTTGAAATCTCATTTTTGACAAAATGGGGTAGATAATACCTTTCTTATATTTAGTGAAGACTGAAGTAACAAAAGATTCCAATGCCTTGCACATTTACTTGGCATATGGTATGCTTTCAATAATAAATATCCTCATTATCCCTAAAAGAATTCAACTTAATCCTGCTTAGCATTTTCCTTCTATCAGCTAAGGTAAAAATTTCTACATATTGAAATTATAATCATTATTTTCTTAATATATTTTGTAGTTAAAATCTTTAAACAAATCAATCATTGACTAAAGGTGTTTTCTTTTTACAAAATTCAAACAAACTTCCTCTCTGTAATCCAGTCATATTGAGTACCCTGCACTTTGCTTCCAGTGTACTTCAGTGACTGAATAACCTTGGTGAACATAATTGAAATGAAAATGTAATATTAATTTCTTAAAACATGACAAAATTATCTTTGAGTACTTTTGGCTCAGTCTTTTTTTTGTTTTGTTTTTACTTAAATTCTAGTTAGTTAACATACAGTGTTACCATAGTAACATATAGCTTCTTAAAACATGATGAAATTATCTTTGAGTGATTTTGGCTTAGTCTTTTTTGCTTGTTTTTATTTTAATTCTAGTTAGTTGACGTATAATGTAATATTGGTTTCAGTAGAATTTAATGATTCCATCATTTATATATAATGTAACATTTTTGATGTTTATTTTTGCTTTATTTTTCTCTTTAAGTATATTATACGTTATACATATATCTGTATATGTATATACAAAACTGCACGTATCCTAAGTATACAGCTTGATGAATTTTCACAAACTGAACCAATACTCAGGCCCAGATCAAGAAACAGAATATAACCATTACTGCAGAAGCCCACCGGTGTACCCCTTCAAACTTTACCCCTCCTTCCTTACCAAGAATAGCCGGTATCCTGACTTCTAATAGTACTATAGACTAGTTTTCCTTTTTAAAAAACTTTTGTACAAACAGAATTATAGAATCACATACTGATATTTTTTGGGGGTTGGCTTCTTTCACTCGACATAGTCATGAGACTCATCCACGCTGTTGCCTTTAGGTGTTCTTCATTCATTCTCATAGTTGTATAGAGTTCCACTGTGTGACTAGACTATTTATCCAGGCTACTGTCAATTTCCCATTAGATTTTTTATAAATTACAGAGGGTCTCAAAAAATAATAATAAAAATTAAAAAAATAAATTACGGAGAGTCTCTGGTTGATTTACTATAGGTATAAAGAGGCTAAAACATAAACTTTTAACAATGAAATATCTAGATCCTTCTCTTTTAATTCAAGGATAGTTAACATGCAGTGTTATATTAATTTCAAATGTACAGTATAATGATTCAATAATGCTCTGCATGACTCAGTGCTTATCACAGTAAGTGTCCTCTGAAGCCCCCTTACCTATTTCAGCCATCCCCCCACCCACCTCCTCTCTGGCAACCACCACTTTGTTCTCTGTATTTGAGTCTTTTTTTTTTTTTTTTTTAATTTCTCTTCTCACCTTTGTTTTCCTTCTTAACTACCACATATGAGTGAAATCATATGGTCTTTGTCCTTCTCTGACTGACTTCTTTCACTAAGCATTATACCCTCCCAGCCATGTTGTTGCACATGGCAAAATCTCATTTTTTATACGGCTGGGTGATATTCCATTATATATATCTTCTTTATCCTTTCATCTATCAGTGGACTCTTGGGTTGCTTCTGTATCTTGGTTATTGATAATGAAAACACTGGAAGACTATATGCTACAAAAACATAGCAGTGCACATATCTTTTCAAATTAGCATTTTCGGGTTTGGGGGGTAAATACCTAGTAGGAAAATTCCTGGATGATATGGTAATTCTATTTTTAATTTTTTGAGGAACCTCTATTCTGTTCTCCACAGTGGCTATACCAATTTGCATTCCCACCAACAGTGCATAAGGTTCCTTTTTCTCCACATGCTTGCCTAACACTCATTATTTCTTGTCTTTTTGATGTTAACCATTCTGACAGAAGTGAGGTGATATCGCACTCTAGTTTTGATTTGCATTTCCCTGATGATGAGGGATGTTGAGCCTTCTTTTCATGTGTCTGTTGGCCAGGTCTAATGTCAATTCAGGTCCTCTGCCCCTTTTTAATTGGATTACTTGATTTGAGTGTTGAGTTGTAAAAGTTCTTTATTTTGAGTATTAACCCCTTATCTGATTTATCATTTGCAAATACCTTCTCCCATTTGGTAGGTTGCTATGTCGTTTTGTTGATGGTTTCCTTCACTGTGCAGAGGCTTTTTATTTTGATATAGTCCCAATAGTTTATTTTTGCTTTCATTTCCCTGCCTGAGGAGACATACCTAGAAAAATGTTGGTAGGCCAGTGTTAAAGAAATTACTATGTTTTCTTCTAGGAGTTTTATGGTTTTAGGTCTCACATTTAGGTCTTTTTAAAAATCCATTTAGAGTTTATTTTTGTGCATAGTTTAAGAAAGTGATCCAGTTTCATTCTTTTGCAGGTAGCTGTCCGATTTTCCCAGCACCATTTGTTGGAGTCTAGATCCCTTTCTTAATGGAATTCAACAGATATTTAGTCATTATTTACTGAGTACAAAACATACTGATGGGCACGGCAGGGATTGTAAAGAAAGGATAAACATTTCTAGTGGCTTAGATTCTAATGGGAGGAGGCTTTAGATAATATAGGGTTTTATAACTTCAGGCAACTTTTCATAAATACCTGTAGGGGATGAAGCTAGGTTGTACATGGTTGTGCACAGGAAGGAGAAAAGGTGAATAAAAGAAACAGTTGATAGGTCTTCAAGAACATGTTAACATATTTTATTAAAATCATCTTAAAAGGAAAATATCATTAAAATTTGAATACTTCAAATTTGAAGGGCAATTCAAGAAATAATATTGCTTCTAATACATAAAACTACTAAGTTAAAAACTCCTTCAAAATATGATTAGTATTACAAGTCAGCAATCTTCTTGTGAATGTATACTATCTGATACCTAAGTCACTGAGGTTAATCCAGCCAAAAATGTTGCATAGAAAGTACTGTTTTTTTACTCAAAGTCAATAGTAAAAAATATAAAATATTATTTAAAAATAAAGTATACCATAAAATACAGTTAATATATTATTTCTAAAAAGCAACTGAATAACTCCTAATATTTTTTCTGTGATTTCCCCATCATTTTATATACTGTACAGTAGCTCAACACATGTGTCTGTCTATAAATACCTGTATTATATTACTCGAAAATGCCAAGTCATTAATTCTTCAAACAGTGGTTGGATATCAACTAGATGAAAATCACTATGCTAGGAACCCAACATACAAAGATGACTGACACTGGGTACTTGCCTTCAAGTAGCTTTAGTGGGAAGACAGACTAAAACAATTAAAATAGAGTATGGTCCCTGTCTCATGACACCAGTTATGCACACAGGGATGGTGAGAGTACAGAAAAGGGACAGCTAGATCAGATCGGAGAACAGGGGGGAAATCAAGGCACACTCCACGGAGAAGGTGACTCTTGAATGAAGTCAGAGACTTAAAGGATACGTGGCATGTAGTACTTTGGGCAATGTGGAGAAGGCAGATATTCCGGAGGGCATGAGTGGAAGAGAGAAGGTTGGGTGCAGCCCAGGATAGCTGGAACTCTGATGCTTTTTGGTATTTATGCCAACGTGTAGCCAGGGGCCTGCTTTTGTGCAGTTCTCCCCATTGTTATTTTTAAAATATGAATCTATTTTTTATTCAGTACAATCAATCTATAGCTAAAAGTATTTATTATTTTGTCACTGAGTCTTCTGGTATTCCAGCTTCTGTTAGCATTTCAAAGAAAAGTCCTTTCTGGCATATCAAATTCTGTGGTGTTTCAAATTCTGTAATCCTTCCAGAGTCTAGAACAAGTACCCTGCAATGTGAAAAGAATCCAGTCAGGTAACCTTAATCAGTTTTCCGGTTTACCCTTGTTTTTCTTGCTAATGTAAAATGTAAGTTACCATGTGAGTTATATCATTACAAAATATGGGTACTACTGAACTCAAGAAGTATATCCAGTTTTCTTTTTTTTTTTAAAGATTTTATTTATTCATTTATTTGAGCGAGAGAGAGTGAGAAACAGCATGAGATGGGGAGAGGGTCAGAGGGAGAAGCAGGCTCCCCACCGAACGGGAGCCCGATGTGGGACTCGATCCCAGGACTCCAGGATCATGACCTGAGCCGAAGGCAGTAGCCCAACCAACTGAGCCACCCAGGCGCCCCTCCAGTTTTCTAATATTCTTTTAGCATTAACATATTCTTCTAATTGTCTGGAAAATATGTTTCCTATTATTAAGGAAAATTTTGTATCAGTACGGATATAATCCTTTATTAGTGGCAATTAGTTGTTTGGTATATTCAGTGGTTATCTCTGGAGATTTATAGGTATAGTTTTGTTTCTGAAAACAAATAAAGCATACCTATCTGAATCAATGATAGAGTGCAGTCTATGAGCAATCGTCAGGATGGTACAGTCAGAGAACTCTTTCCTGATTGTGGTCTGCACCAAGTTATCAGTCTCAAAATCAATGGAAGCTGTTGCCTCATCCAAGATGAGAATTTTTGTTTTTCGAAGCAAAGCACGAGCAAGACAGACAAGCTGCCTTTGTCCAACGCTGTTAAAAAAAAAATAGTAAAATAATTTCTACAGTGGACTTTATGGTTACACACTTCCTGTTCTGAAATTCTGATTATATCACTACTCACTCTCTTTCTAAGTCACACATTCATTCATTCTTTTGTTCAAGAAATATTTATTTTGTCAAAAGAGACAAAAATCTCTATGTGGAGTTTACATTCTTGTGGGAAGACAGAAAAAAAATATGATACATGGGTAAAATGCATCGTAATAAGAAGAATTCAAGCACACAGAAAGGGAGGGTATAGAGTGTGGGCCTGGGGTGGACATTTTAGACAGGCCTGCCAAAGAAAGCCTCACTGGACTGAGGGCGTTGCCTTTTAATTCAAGACCCTTTGGAAGGGGAGAGTGAGCCATGCAGATTTCCAGTGGAAACTTGTTCCCGGAAAAGGGAACAGTGGGTGCAAGATTCCCTGAGGCAGGCAAGAGCTTGCCTGGCATATTCAGGAACCATCAAGGAAGCCAATGTGGCAGAAACAGACAGAGGTAAGGAGAGCAATCAGGGAGACCGAGTCATGCAGTGCAGGGCTTGAAGGGATCTAGCTCACTTACCTTGGGTCTCTGATCATATGAAAGGGACTGTCATCGGGTATCAAACAGCCATGAAGGAGAAAGGAGTCCTTTATAACATTTTTAAGGAAGAAAGCTATTTGAATAGGAGTCTTTACAAAAGAAGAGTCAATTAAACAGTGACTTTCCATACTGGATCATTCCTTTCTTCTCCCTTCTTTCCTTCACCAGAGGTTTCCCAGCCAGTGGTTACCATTATATTCCTCGTCCCTTTTCCCTAGAGGGAATCAGCAATCGTGTGCTTTGAACAGACCAAAAGAGGTCCTGGGTGACTCAGGAGGAGTGACTTACCTTTGAGGCTAACTCAAAGTTTCTAAGGAGCCTTGAAATGAATAACTTGGCCAAGCTTTGTTCTTAGCAGCTTACCTGAGGTTTTCACCTCCCTCTGTAATCTCATGCAGCAGCTTCTTGGGAAGGGACTGCACAAATTCTTTTAAGTGACACAGTTCTAGCACCTCCCACAGCTCACTATCGGAATACTTGTCTAGGGGATCCAGGTTCATTTGAAGGGTACCAGAAAATAAAACAGGATCCTAGAGAATAAAATTGTCACCAGTAATCTTACTGTCCCATGAGGCACAAATACATTTTTAAAAAATCAGATTCAGAAAACAAAAAGCAAAACAATCAAAACTAAATAGTTATAAAATTCACTTTATATTGAAAACAAAAGCAGAAAAGAATCAGGATAACCTATAAGTGAGATTAAATCATTATAAATTTCCTGATCATCTTTCTCCTTCTTATTAACAATGTCAACATCAGCCACAGTAATAATGATGACGATAGCTGCCATAGCTGCCATTTAGTCAGAGATAGAACATAGAACAGAATAAATGCAAACTATAGTATGTATATAATATTATCAGTCAGCATACCAACTCAGAAAGATGGAAGTCAATATCCCCATTTTATAGAGACTGAACTGGTGGGTCCAAAGAGCTCTTGTTCAAAGCCACACAGAAGGTGAGTGGTTGAGTAGAATTTGAATAGGACAAGTCACACTCTTTCCAATATACCAACATGCCTGGTGAAACTGTAGTTTACTATAACTGTATTTATTTCTAAGAGAGGAATGACTAATATCTCTTTTCTTCATTAAATTTTTTTCTCTGCTAGAATTCCATTCAAATTTGCTTTTGAAGTAAATTCATGAATACGAGTACATGTCTAAACAGTATGAAAAATAGATTATATTTTAAGATTTTTTTTCAATGTAAATACAAAGGTATCTCATAAATACTCAGCTTAAATCTCTCAAACTCAACTGAATAAGTCATCTTTGACTGTAGATGCCTATTCTTGAGCCAATTTGCATATTTGTTAATGATCAAGTTCTTTTGATGCCATAGACAAAGGACTTGAAAAAAATGATCTCACTGAATTATTGTTCTTTTCATCTTTGAAATGTTTTCAAACTTCAAATCAAAGAGACAAAATTCTACACTCCCTCTACCAATTAGGCAAAAGCCTCAGTATTTTTTCTTTCAAAAAATACCAACGCATTTCAGTCTGATCTCATTCAAATTTTGTTTGCATTTACTATTATGAAGGAAACTTAAAGCAACATACCAGTTTTTCAAATGGATAAATGCATTTAGGAAGAATGTTTTAGAGTAAGAGTATTTAATAGGATTCAGTTATGTAGTGATCACTACAGCTATGTAGTGATTTTTCATTACACATTCAAATGCTCTGGCTTCTAAAAATGAATTTAGATGCTTAGAAGGAACACATTTAAAAAAAAGAAGAAAAAAAAAAGATCACCTAAAGGGAGTTAAGAAAGTCTACTGACAAAATAGGCTCTACCTGTGGAATAATATTAAGTTTGCCCCGAAGGTCATGAAGTCCAATAGTGGATATGTCAATACCATCGATAATAATTTTGCCTCCTGATCTTTCCACAATTCTAAACAGACAATTTGAAAGCGTTGATTTGCCTGCTCCAGTCCGTCCCACGATTCCAATCTGTAACGAAATGATCATAAACAGTTTGCACTGTGCTTTTGGTAAGGGACCGGGACCTTTGCACTGACAACAAATACATTAGGTGTCGGGTCAGCGGGATTTAATTTTGCCAAACTGAATCACCCTGCCTGGCATGGAAGACGTAATGTTGACTTCTAAGGATCAGTCTTTATCCAAATACTCATTACTCCCTGGAAAGGCTCAGGTTAATATGTTTCTTTTCTCTACTTTTGAGTAATTTAATGAGCACCTGACTAGAGCATGCCAACAGCCCCAGGAAGAGCAGACCACCCCTGAACCTGGGACTAGCTATTCAGAGTGCGGCCAAAGATGACTCTGATAATTGGGTGGTTTTCTTGGGCCTTTCAAAATGAGGCTTCTCTACTCTCCTTCTCCAAATAAAACAAACAAACTAACAAACAAAGGGGAGAGGAACCCTTTGCCAGGATAGAAAATCCAAAGGGATGTTTGTAAATTTCCTTGGTGTATCAAAATAACTCTGGCATTAAAACTATTGAGGATGGCTGTGGGTAACATCTGAGGATCTTAGATTCATGGACAAAATAATCAACTTGTCATAAACATCAAGTGACTGCACATATTCCTCTGACCATGAGGACTAAAGCAATCCCTCTGGGTGTTGATTTGTGTCTTGGTTATAATGGGAACATTAGGCAGAGAAAACATTAAGGAGGTTGGTTTTCCCCGATAAAAGATCTTAAATCTTAAATCTGACACACTATACCAGAAACATCAGGAATCTGTTGAATTAACTGGGATAATCAAAACTCCACAATGACTTCCTTTGTTCCAAAGACATTTTTTATCCTTGATGTTACTGCAGTGGACATGGTTTAAAGGGTTAGAAAAAGAGATGTTTGGGGTTATAAAAGCCAGGTCTTTGAAAAAGGAAAAGTGGGTCACTGTTGTCAATTTTTTTCTTCATTTTTTACTTTTATTTACTTGTAAAATCTTCCTAAGGAAATAATGTGTTTTCATAAAACATTTTGAAAAATGTGAGAAAAACTATAGTAGTCGAAATTATTTATAATCCTGTCACCTGAAGAGAACCACGATATATGCTTTACTACTGTTCTTCTAGGATTTTTGCTAATGTAGTCTACCTGTTTGCTTTTTTCTAAAACAGAAAACTGATATACTATCAACAGTTTTGTATATAGCTTTTATTAACCAAATTACATCTCAAGAACAAATAACGCAACATATTTTAAGAAAAAAGGAAAAGAAGAAGATAACAGGAGAGGAAGAAAGGGGGAGTATGTCAGAGGGGGAGACGAACCATGAGAGATGATGGACTCTGAAAAACAAACTGAGGGTTCTAGAGGGTAGGGGGGTGGGGGGATGGGTCAGCCTGGTGATGGGTATTAAAGAGGGCACGTTCTGCATGGAGCACTGGGTGTTATGAACAAACAATCAATCATGGAACACTGCATCAAAAACTAATGATGTAATATATGGTGATTAACATAACAATAAAAAATTTGAAAAAAAAAATTACATCTCAAGTATATTCCCTTCTCACTAATAATCCTGGAAAACATGGCGTCAATGACTACACAAATATTCTCTCCTATGGATTTACTGTATTTTAGGTAACCTAATTTTATTGTCTTATTATTGCTCTTTACTTAATAAAGGAAGTAAAAATAAAGTATACCACTACTAGGTATATATCCAAAGGAAATGAAATTAGTATCTCGAAGAGAAATCTGCACTCCCATGTTCATATTCACAATAGCCAGGATATGGAAACAACCAAAGTGTCTGTCCATAGAACGGATAATGAAAATGTGTATACACACACACACACACACACACACACACACACACACACAGGAATAATTCAGCCATAAAAAGGATGGAAATCCAGCCACTTGTGGCAACACAGATGAACCTGGTGGACTTTATGCTATGTGGAATAAGCCAGATGGAGAAAGACAAATACTGTACGATCTTCCTTATATTTGGAACCTAAAAAAGTGAAACTCATAGTACCACAGAGTAAATGGTGGTAATCAGGGACTGAGGGGTGGGTAGAATGGGAAGATGTTGGTCAAAGGGCATGAACTTTCAGATGAATAAGAAGAATGTGTTCTGGCGATCTAAAGTACAGTGAGGTGACTATAGTTAATAGTATTGTATTGTATACTTGAAATTTGCTGAGATAGTAGATCTTAGGTGTTCCTACCACATCTAAAAAAAAAAAATCAAAACAAAAACAAAAAACCTTGTAACTATGTGAGGTGATGGATGTGTTAATCTGACTGTGGTATCATTTCACTATATATATATATATATATATATATATATATATATATATATATGTATATATATGTGTGTGTGTCAAACCATCATGTTGTACACTTTAAATATATACAATATTTACTTGTTAATTATAACTCAATAAAGCTGAAAAACCAAAGTATGCTAAAATTATGTTTCATAATATAGTATGCACAATTTAAAAATAGCTTTCTTTAAAGAGGAAAAACTTATTCTGTATATACCAACCACATGAGTTTATTACTTTTATATGAAATTTGAACAAAGACCATCTTATATTCAATACCATATCATAGTTTGACCTTAACAATGAATGAATTCAGATAAAAGGGAAAGTGAAACTTCTGAAATATATATGGTACCTTTTCTTCACCATGAGTCTGGAAAGTGATATCTTGTAATGCTAAACCAAGGTCATCTCTGTATCGAGCCTGATAATTAATAAATTCCACTATCCCTTTATCAGGCCATTGTGATGGAGGTCTTTTAGACATTATCCAGGGTGCCTTAAAACAAAGAAATATAATAATCACAAAAAAATACCTTTCTCTCCAAAAAGTAATTATCATGCATATAAACAAAAGTGATAGAAAACATTCGTGGATATTATGATCTCCTGAAAATAGTTTTAAATATTACCAACATAAAACTTCTCATCTAGTTAAACAAAAGCTTAGAAATAAGTTTTTGAAGGTAACAAGGCTTCCCATCTCCTATACAGTTATTAAGAAGAATCTTCTAAAACTCTACAAAGTTGCTGAAGGTAACCTGTTTGAAATTTTAGCTGAGATGGGGAACAGTTTGTCAATCATTCATTGCCCAAATATGTGCTTTAGTTGATGGAGATTCATCATTGAACAAAACAGATACAAATTCTTGTCCTTACAGAGCAGACAGGATGCCAGAGAGAGACAGAAGGAACCACATAGCATATGTAGAATGTTAGACAGTGATAAAGCTTCAGAGGATGGGAGATAGGCAAGGTTAGGGGTGGTGGTGTAATTTTAAGTAGGGTGGATAGGGAAGTCTTGGTTGGACATGATACGGGAACAAGCCATGTGGATATGGGTTGAAGCGCTTTCCAGGCAGACGACTAACTATACGTGCTGAGGTCCTGAGACAGGGGCCTGCCTGGGACGTTGGAGGAACAGGAGGCAAAAGAGTGTGGTGTCTGGGCAGCGAGGTGAGGTGTTTTCATCAGAGGGAGTGATCACCAGTGTAAGAGGATGGATCAGGTCAAGTGAGGACTGACAGGAGACCACTGGTGATCTTGACAAGGGCAGGTTCAGTGGAGTGGTAGGATTTAAAGCCTGTTTGGAGAGAGTCCAAAATAGAATGAGAGACATATAGGCTATTCCAGAAAATTCTTTTGTAAAAAGGTGCAGAGAAATGGGATTATGGAAGGGTAAACAGAATTATATGAACAATTTACTTCTTCCACGTCAAGAGTTTTTGTAACAGTATTTGTCATACCTGCATCAAATTACATAAAGATGATTTAAAAAAAATGTGTGGGTGTATGTGCTTTACCCATTTTATTGTTTTTTCAATATGAAAAGAATATATATTAAAAATTTATACGTACATAAACAAGAAGTTTATACACAAAAATATATATACAAAAAATTAGAAGACACAGAAAACAATAAAGTTATATAGTGGTCACCACACGGCAATAGACTGAGCAAACTGAATACTGATAATTGGAGGTTGTGAAGGTAGATTAATCTTCCATGAAATTTGTGTGAAAAAGGAAGGTAAGACCTGGGGAAGAATCTAGGAGAAGATTCCAAATTTAAGTAGTAGTTGGAGGATGTAGATAATATTTTAGCCTATTTATAGGTTGAGAGGGGCAAGGGGGTCAGGGTCCTGAGATGTAGAAATTAAAGGAAGTGGTTAATGGAGCAAAGTCTGACAGAAGACGTGAACAGATATTACCAAAAATATAAGTGGAAACTCAGGTTTTTATTTGAAGGAGGGACACCTCTTCCTGAGAGTCATAAGCAAAAGAGGAACATTTTATGATTCAGATACCTTTATAGGTGGATTGAAGAAGATAAAGAAAGTCAAGTCAACTTTAACATTTGCCTTGTTAATTCATGGAACTGGGAGGCAGAAGTAACCCAGATTAGTAAAATATGAAGATAACTCAAATATTATACTCTGCCAATAGTCTAATCCTTCTCCTTTCTAAATTATAATTAATTAAAGGGAACAAAACAGACTGATTTATTCTTATCCTCCTTTCCATCCACAGAGATGTTAATGATGAGTAAATGGAACAGAAAGTATAAATAATAAAGATGTAGTTAATTTAAAAATTGCACAGACTTCAATTATGACTATACTAAGACACTTTTCACAATGTAAAATCTTCACAAAGTTATAATCTTAGGTTGCATATTTTACTCTACATTGGTGGAGGACAAATGTGCCTTCTAAAAACAGGTAATCATATTTAATCTTTACAATATAACATATCATCCAATTTATGTACTATTGCAACTTAGTTAACTCTGCTATTTTTTCTATTTTAGTGATATATAAAATAATGGTGTATTTAACAGTAGATTGGGTTTTAATTTCATTGAAATGCTGAATATTACAACATGAATTTGGAAAAGCAGGTTTTGTTTAAGATTTATTTTTTTAAATGTCAATTTAAGGTGCATTAAAATATCTTAATCCTGCATCTATTTATTGGTTATTTAGGAGTGCTTACCTCTTTATCCATATTTTCATATTCACAAACTCTTTCAATGGAAACTGCATTGGTTTCAATTTCACAAGCTTTCCTCACCCAAAAATTCAGAGATTGAGTAATCTGGAGAAAAAAAAAACCCAACCTTCATGAATGGTTCTTTAGTCTTTTACATAATATTAATAATACTTTATAAAGTTTCACTTTTCATGGTTTTCATATGCTTTATCTCTTCTGATTATTCAACAACTTTAGAAGTAAGCATATTTATACATAAACACACAAGTGTTTAAGTATATTAAACTCATACATATCATAAATAATGGTGTTTTTGGCAGAAGATTTAGTTCAACATATGTTGAAGGAGTCCCTACTTGGTGTAAGGAATGATGAATACCAATATTGATGGGATCTGCTTCAAGAAATGTACACCCCGGGGCGCCTGGGTGGCTCAGTCAGTTAAGCGTCTGTCTTAGGCTCAGGTCACGATCCTGGAGTCCCAGGATCGAGTCCCCTGTTGGGCTCCCCACTCAGCAGGGAGTCTGCTTCTCCCTCTGACCCTCCCCACTCTTGTGCTTTCTCGCTCTCACTCTCTCTCTCTCAAATAAATAAATAAAATCTAAAAAAAGAAAGAAAGAAAGAAAGACATGTACACCCCAAGTGAGAAAAAAGTTGTGCACAATATTACCTTTGGCATTCCCCATTATGGGAAGGAGGATTCTCCTAAGTTTTGACCACCACTGTCTCCTCTTTTTCTTTTTCTTTCTTTTTTTTTTTTTAACTCTACTTTCTTCTCACCATACCCACAAATATAGATTGTAATTCAAGCCTAATTCTAAAAGTCAAAAAACTCTGCCAATTCAGTTTTTTCTCAAGTTTGGTGCCAAATCATTTGATGGCCAACCTGACTGGAGAACTGATTGGGGTTCTTTAAAGTCTTCACTTAACCCACTTAGGGTAAACATGCACATATTTCACTGCAAAACAAGTAGTTTGATTATGGGGTTCTGCCCCAAACCTTGACTACGGTATGTGTATCATATTTCCTTTCTACAAGCCTAAGTTCTGAATTCTGAAATGCAACTGGCCTTAAGCATTTTGGATAAGAGACAAAGGGTAGGTACTCAAATCATCTAGACTTATCTTCTAAATAATGTGTAAGTATATTTAGTAGTTTAAGGAATATTCTATTTTACAAAGAGGGCATGAACACACTGATACCACTAGTGCTTTTCAGTGTAATATAAAATAGGGCTTATTAGGGAAAAACTTACAAGCAAAGAACCACCAGAGCCTATATTCTCCCCAGAGTTTGCATCATCTCCTTGGTTAGGCTGGGCAGACTGGAAGGACAGGCCACGGTGGAGAGAGGCCCTACCACTGTTATATTCTATAAATCTATACAAATAGGAGAACAGGAAACTTCTAGGTAACTATGCAACCCCAGGAGTTTCTGAATCTTCTAGCACTCAGCCTGTTCTTTCTGTGAGCTCACTTAGAACTGCCGAGCCAGCTTCCTGCTTGTAGCAACAGAGGAAGAAATGAGCCTCCAGGGCAATCCTGATTTGTCTCTCATTACTTAGTTAATACCATATATAATTCAGACAGGCAAAGGAGAAGAGAGTTTAATTAATTGGATTATAAACATATCATATACCACAAAATCATTCTTACTTACATTTAGGGCATAGGATATGGACAAACCAACTATTGCTGAATCTATAGACTTGCCAGCGAGCACAGTAAGCACTGCAGCAAAGAATACCATTAAGTCGCCAAGGAGTTCAAGTCTAACAGACAGCCACCTGTAATAATGGAAAATACTCCTCAGCTGAGGTGCAGAAGTTTTGGTGCACTTAGTATGAACTCTCCTCTGGGAAATGAAAATGTAAACATCAATAGCTGCTTCCTTTCTTTCCTCACTTACTTAGAACTCAATCAAAATAGGATTGTTGCAGTGACGATAGATTAAAGGATGCCCTCTACATAAAAACACACTTTACTTTTGCGGAGCTTCGCTTTAAAACTTAATCAGAATTAAAAATCAAAAAAGAACACCAGCTAAAACTCGTCATATTTTAAAATCCTATTGGAAAATCAATCACCTTTCCAATTACATACCCTTTTTTACATGATAAAATGAGTCTCCAAAAGTTAAAATGTGTCCAGCTACCATTTAATATTTCATTTTTCTCCTTTATGTGAAATGATAACCTCAAACTTAAAATATAAATTATTGTATGCAAATAAAATATATTCTACAAATACAAAATATAACATAGAATCGGATTATTAGTAATTCTGATAGCATCCTATATAACCTTCAAAAACTTGGGACCTGGGGCATCTGGGTGGCTCAGCGGGTTAAGCATCCAAATGTTGGTTTTGGCTCAGGTCATGATCTCATGGGTCATGGGATCAAGCCCCGCATCAGGCTCCATGCTCAGCGGGGAGTCTGCTTCAAGATTCTCTCCTTCTGCCCCTCTCCCCACTCACTCTCTTCATCTCTCTCTCTCTCTCAAATAAATCTTTATTTTCTCAATTTTTTTATTTTTTTTAAGATTTTTATTTATTTATTTGACAGAGAGAGAGAGCACAAGCAGGGGGGAGTAGCAGGCAGAGGGAGAGGGAGAAGCTGGCCCCCCAAAGAATAGGGGGAGCCTGGTGCAGAACTTGATCCCAGGACCCCAGGATCAACCAACTGAGCCACCCAGGCGCCTCAATAAATAAATCTTTAGAGAAAAAAACTTGGGACCTTATTTTCATGTAAAGTAGCATGTACTTTTTATTTGAATATAAATAGATGCATTTTAACTTACATGTATATTAAATATTAGAAACATTTAAGGTTTTCTTCTTTTTTTTAATAATTTGATGAAATGCCATTACAAAACACTCTTTCCGTTTAAAAGTTAGTGCACAAGACATCTAAAAAGAGACTGGTCTTGAACTAGGTATACTGATATGACTTACCTGTTTGAAATTACATTATTGTAGAAACAGACCAGGTTCTCATTCACCACCTCTTTGTTTTGCTGGATGAACCTCTGTTCATGTCCAAATGCCCGGATAGTGGACACCCCTGATAAAGTCTCACTAAAGTGTGAAATGATAGGAGAGCGAGATGCTCCTGCCAACCGACGAATCTGCCGAGAACTCGCCACATAGTATCTCTAACCCAAAGACAGAAAGAGGCAGTTGGAAAGATGTAGCAGAAATTGCTTCAATGGTGTGAAAATGGCAAGACACTTAAGTGACCCCAAAAAGTGAAGTTGAAGTTTTCACTCCAGTACCTATGAATGTGGCCTTACGTGGAAATGGAATCTTCGCAGATGTCATTAAGGATCTCGAGATGAGATCATCCTCGATTTAAGGTGGGCCTGAAGCCAATGCGGAGTGTCCTTGTAGGAGACAGAAAAAAAAAGACAAAGACACGGGGAGAAAGCCATGTGAAGATGAGACTGGAGCAATGTGTGCATAAGCCAAGGAAAATGCCAAGGACTGCTGACAGCCACCAGAAGTTAGGAGAGAAGCATGTGAAACCAATGTTCCCTCAAAGGTTCCAGAAAGAACCAACCCTGCCTATACCTTGATTTTGAACTGTTAGCCTCCAGAAATGTGAAAGAATAAAATTTCTGTTGTTTTAAGCTACCAAATTTGTTACATACAGGAGCCTTAAGAAATGAATACACGCTTAGAACAGTAAAAAGTCCAAATTCTGGACAGCATAACTAGAACAGAATTGGACAAAGCTCCACTTCGATAATCCTTTCATACAACCATTATTGAGTACCTACTATGGAAGAAGCTCAATGTCACAGGTTGGAAATGTGACCAGAGAGTTAACCCATTAAATGAAGGAAGTCAACCAAGTGTACAAACAATAGTATTTTTGTACCTAAATATAATCACGAGGAAAAATTTACTTTATTTATTTTGTGACCAAAAAAAAACCCACCAGTGCAGCCACAAATATAATTGGCTAGTTCTCCTCTAGCTTGGTTGAGACTAGTTGGGATGAGTGGAGACTGGAGAGCTGGAGAAAGCATGCCCTGAGTTAACTGGGCCATCATTCATCAGCCCCAGATAATTGCTACAAACTGGAAATGAAAATCAAGAGTTTCCACATCTTGTAATTTTTTCAAGAAAATCTCTGGATCTGGAGTTTTACATAAAATCCCTGATTTTAAAATGTCTTCATTTTGGTAAAAATGAGCAAGCTGAACAAAAACCTATGTGAAACTACATGTCACCCTGCAGCTGACTCTGCTCTATGCAAGTACCCTGGAGAACACAGAGGATTGTAGCATTCTGGGACTGCAAGGGGACTTAGTATCATAAAGACATTTTGGCTCTGGGCCTCACCCTGATAGATTCTTTATTTCCTCCCAGTTTTATTAGGATGTGATTAACAACAACAACAACAACAACAATACACACACACCTAGTAAACTGTGATTTCTTAAAAAAAAGGTACAACTAGAGACTCCGATTCAATACGTCTGGGGTATGGTCCATAGGTCCAGGGCCCATCCTTTGAGTAGCACTGATATAAAGCAAATCTCGTATTTTATAGGGGGAAGCAAGGAAGCCTGGAAACGGAAGTGATGTGTCAAGCATAGGAGTCAGGGAAGTAGAATTTGAGGCTCCTGAATTCCCATTCAGGGCTCATCCTATACAGTGTCCCCTAACAAGATACGGTTTCTGGACTCATTTCCACGCGTGGTCATCCTATTATAATTTACCCACCACAAGACTATCACATACATTTTCACTTGTGATATGAGGGTTGTTTTTTGTTTTTTTTTAAGCAGATACAATTGATTCTCAATACCATCCCTCATATTCTAAATTTTTTTCTTTTAGCTCTAAGACATAGTGTCTTCCCCGGAGGACTTACAATCTCATTGGTGAGACAATTTGTAGTCTAAAAAAATAGCTTGTAATACTACCAGTATGATAAATCCATAATACCTGGATGAATCTGATGTCTTTGCACTATTTTGGTAGAGAATACTTCACATAGAAATGAAATATGACCTAGGCCATGAAGGGTAAGTAAGATCCAGTCAGGCAGAGAGAATAGGGAAAACACAGGAAGTAGGAGGAATAATAATAGCATAGGTGTAGAAATGAGAACATGATTAACATTCTGGTTTGGGCAGATTAAACTCCAATATGAATTTTAAAACTTGAGTTTGGGGAAAGCATTGAACTACAAGAACTGCATCCTTTATGTAAAGAGCCTCAAAATACTTTCATTTTTAAATTAAATATGTGTTAAGACATTTCCTTTTACACTGTAGCCTCCCAGGGACATAATCTTGGAATGTGGTTGACCACATTTTAATTGGAATATAAAGATATGTATCATGAGAGATCTGCTTCCTTCTTCTAGGAATCCTTTGCTGATATTAGGGATAACTGGACAAAAAGGCAGTTACCGGTTTCTCTTTTGGATTTACAGGCAAATTCGCTGTCTGCTAAAACGTAAATACCATATAGATTCTGTGGTGGCCTTAAAAATGCACAACTCAGTTCTGCTGTGGCAGGGGATACAGCTGACCAGCAGCCCAGCCACTGCCCGTCTAGATCTACTACTCCATGAGCATGGAGGCATGTTTCCCACAGGCTGCTTCCAGCCAATGACTGAGTACGGCAGGGGTGCTAAAGCAGGCCCATTTCAGGCACACATGAGACACTGCAATGGGCAACACTGCTTGTAGACTTCCCATTCATGCAATGAATCTTTCATGGACCAGTCCTGTAATCCAACATTTTTCCTACCCAGTCTTCTTCTCTCCCTCACCAGAATTAGACCTGCATCACTGTCTGAGGGCTCACCCATCCTTCTGCTGCTCCCTCTCCTTTATCTATTACAGGCATTCCCTGGGAACTCTCTACTATCTGGAATCTTTTCTTGGAATCTGCTTTTTGGAGAACGTGAACTAATGGGCCACTGGAGTGGGTCTGAACTTATATTTGACTGTGAACTTATGTTATTAATACACATAAAAATCCAGGTACTTACCTGTATAGTGAAATAGAGGAACACCAAGGGAATAACCCCCAGAATGAAGAGTGGTAAAGCTCCTCCAATGACCAAAACTGTTCCAATAACATCCAATGTGCAATTCACCCAGGTCCGTAAGTAGTAATGGAAACGTATATCAATTATAAACATGTCCTGAAAAAATTGATATCAGGTCATTTTATTTTTAACTTTTCATGATTTAAAATGAGGAAAAGAAGAAATATATCGTTTAATGTAAACATTTTTTAAAAAATTACCCAGATGTGACAATCTGATCATCAAATAAGTCTAACTACATGGTCTTTGCCCTCCCCAATCCACCCTCGTATATTATTCCCCTGTGGTCAGTTGTAATAGTTAAAAACACATTCTGGTAATGAGATGCCCATGATCAAGCAATTTGCATTTCCCAATGACAACTACACAGCACTTAGTTTATATGACTAATGTCAGACTCTGCTTAAAAAGATCCAAACCCCAGTAGTTGGGTGTTCAGAGGCATTGGCCTACCACTATTTACTACTCTGTAAAATACTAGTGAGCCATTCTTATCCACCGAGAACATGTTCAGTGGTCTTTTGGGTAGGTGGATCCTGTCAAGATTCTAAGAGGCAGGAAAACAAAATAATCTTTATTTGCAAAATTAGAAACTGAAAGATGGAAGTGGACAATGAAAGAAGATCATAGGAAGGTCAGGCATCAATTCACATATAACTTAATCATATCTATGTTGTCAAATCTATGGCATAAGGTATGATCTAAGAAATCCCAGGGAGTAGGAAGATACCCAACCTATAGGGATGGACAACTCAGTTCATGACAAAACTGACACAAAGAGTGGAGATGGAATTTTATTAATCTCAGTCTTGCTTTGGGAATTCTCTGATTATCTCATATACCAAATAGTATAAGAGCATCATATCCATATGAAGTTGTCTGCCTGTCTTTAGAACAACCTTCCCATATTCTCCCATATTCTCCCATATTCTCATCCGTTTAAGACCCAAGCATTTGACATGTTACCGTACAAAAATGACAGTTATTCAGTAGGGTCCTAGAGAAATGTCCACTGAGAGATAAAAATGCTGAAGATCAAGTTCTTCCATACATTTTAAAAAACAGCATGTACATTGGTATGATGAGGCAAGATTTAATATTCCACCAAACATTTATTATGCTAGGTACTTTCACTTTGATTTTCATGTTTTATCCTCACTTCCCCCATACACACACCAAAAATTTTTTACATGTACACACAAATATATTGGCATATTTTACAGTTGTGGGCTTGTACTATCTAATTCAGGAACCACTAGCAATATGTGTCTATTGAGCCCTTGAAATGTGGCTACTGCAAATTGAGATGTGCCATAAGCAAATCATACAAATCAGATTCTGAAGACTGTGTAGAAAAAAGAATGTGAAATATTTAGTTAATAATTTTAAATGAGTTTAAATGAGTTTGAAATGTTTCAGACATTCTATGTTAAAATATATTATTATAATTAATTATTTCCAGCTGTCTCTTTTTTCTTTATTGCAGCTACTAGAAAATTTAAAATTACCTATGTGGCTTGCATTACATTTCTGTTGGACAGTGCAATTGTAGGTGTTTGATAGTAAACACCAGGAAGAAAACCCTGTAGGTAAGCAGAGACTCTCTGGGAAGCCCCACCTATCCACCATTCACCAGAAGTGAGCTGACAGTTTTCTTAAAAGCAGAATGCTTAATATCTAGTTATCTTCATACAGACATATTTTCTTTACTTTCTCAGCCCAAACCAGCGATTCTCAAGCTAAATGTATGTAAGAATTGGAGTCATAGACACCAGAGCACATATGCTTTTTGGATCCTTTCAGCAATTTTCAAGGGTTATTTTGATTATGTGTGTAAGGTGTGGTGCTGCTATATATCAACTATAAATGTCCCAAGAATTAGAAATAAAATAATAAGGAAATCTATACTAAACATAATCCCATCTTTTCAGGGTGATATACATATATATATTTATATATATTTACAAATACTATTACAAGGTACTAAATATGGATCATCATTTTTAGGTATGCTATTCAATAAGGTGTGGCTTTACTGACCTTGGTGAACCGACTGATGATCTGACCTATGGGATTGGTTTCAAAAAACCTGAGCGGGAGGTGTAGCACATTATCCAATAGTTGAGTATGCAAAGTTCGAGAGGCAGCCAGGGATCCTCTGGTGAGTATATAGGCTCCAGAGCAGACAAAGAGACCTAAAGACAAAATCTTATTAGGGGTATGTTAATCTCTTAAAGGAATTTTGTACCTTAACTCCCAAAAAGTTGCTTATCATAGCATTTTTAAAATGGAAAACTCAAAGAACAAACTTAACAATGTGTAATTGTGGACGAAACTAAGTATAAGATGTATATGGTGCATTGATAATAAATATACACTCTGATGGGTTGCCATCTCATCAAAGAAGGGCTCTCCTTATTCATGGGCATAGATTCTACAGAAATGCACAAAACATAACAGAACCAGGTTCACCGAATACTAGCAACCTATTAATTTTGTGATGTCCTATGGGGCAAGACGGTATTCACTGGTGCTGCTAGCCAAATAATTATAGTTCCCCTAGCTTCTAGGTCCATGGTAGAATAGCTCTTTCTGGCCTCTTTGTGATTTATGGGACCTTATGAGGAGTTCTGAACAAGTTGAAGGAGAAACAACACGTAATACCCAGTTACAGCACTTAATTGCTGATATCAGAACTGCTAAAGTTTATTACCTTTGTACAGTGTCTGCCAATATTTATAATGGTGGATGGATTGCTTCTTCAACTTGGGTCCCAAGAATAAGGAACAAACCTTTTATTATTTTATTTATTTATTTATTTGGGTCTATTAAGCTACTGAGATTTGGTTGGTGGAAGGGCTGTTCTTGCAACAACTGAAAAGGCAGACATATAAATAATAGACATATAGCTGTAGTGGAAGTGATTGGAAATAGTTATAAGCATCTATTGATGCTATAACAATATAACTATTGTTACCCACATTTGACAAACTATGGTAAGAAAGAGACAAGCTCATAAAAGAGCTATCCATGTGTGAGAAGAAATGAAAGGACAAAAAGTTCTCAAACTGGAGAACTTGTAGGGCTGGAAGAAGACGTGCTTTGTTACAGTGATTGGTCAAAGATGGATATGTGACTCAAATTGCTTCAAGGAGAGTAACTTCATGGATTTCCATGGAAGGAAGTTCTTTGCGAGAGAACACTTCCAACACCACGCCACGTGAAACCCAAGAATTAAGCCAATGAGGACAACAAGCAGAGCTGATTAAAATAGAGTAGTGAACATTTCATCTGAGCACAGGGATGGAGTGTGTATAAAGACTATGCCTGGACTTTTCAGGTTGGGGAGTCAATAAAATTCCATGTTACTTAAGCTAGTTTGCTCTGAGTCATAGGGGATACACAATTGCTCCACTGTTCTCTAATACACAAAATTGCTAATAAAAGTGTATTGCCAATATGATTCTTATTCCTTTGTAAGTATGTGTAAAACAAAACAAAACAATGATAGTTGACCCTGACCATCTTAAATTATTTCAGCTAACTCCTTTATATTTTAAATAATATCACATGCTGCTGTTAAATGATTTGTTAGCTTTGAATATTTCCTATTTTTTTCCTACCTCACTCCCCCCAAACTTCCTTGTTCCCCTTTCAAAAACAGGTTGTCACCCTCTTTCCTCAAATAAACATTCAATATTTATATTGCCACTAAGCATACACTATGCATGAAGTTCACCACTCTTTTCCATATTCTTAGTTTCCTATGCAACAAGCACTAATTTATTCCCAAACACTTCAACAGTCAGCAAATCTCTTCTGAATATATTCCAACTCATCAGATACCCTATTATTTCCTTCATCCTATTTAGCCCCCTTCTCTTTGCAACATAAACTACTCTCTTGGAACGCTCTTTCTTTCCACTCTAAACTGGAATGGTTGCAAGATCAGACACTTGCATTCTTCAGTTATGGGAAATGTTAAGTATTATGAATTTGATCATTTTCACTTGCATTTACTGAAAGACTTATGCGAATGTTGAACTTCCTGGATTATTCCTCTAATTTTCTTATTTATCATTTCTTCATCTCTTTTCAATGGTATACATCTGGAATAATTTCTTCTAATTTATCTTCTCACAGTTGTTCAATCTCTTTATTTTTAAAAGATTTTTATTTATTTATTTGACAGACAGATAGCAAGAGCAGGAGCACAAGCAGGGGGAGTGGGAGAGGGAGAAGCAGGCTTCCCGCGGAGCAGGGAGCCCGATGCAGGGCTTGATCCCAGGACCCTGGGACCATGACCTGAGCCAAAGGCAGATGCTTAACAACTGAGCCACCCAGGCACCCCATTCAATCTCTTTAAATTCCTTAAATGTTTCGAGAATTTTTTGTCTAAGATTGAACTTATTTCAGCACATTTTCACACTTGCTTTGTGGATATAATATTTTGAATCTCTGAAGACACTAATTTGACATTTTAAGCTTCTATTTCAAATAGGATTATTTTATTTCTGGACTCCACTGCTTTATTTATTAGCTCTTATTTATACTGTTGGTTTAATTAAAATGCAAGGCCATCCATCAGTATCAGTTTAAACATTTGAGATAAACACATGGTTAATTAATAGAAGTATCTGGTGTGGCTTCCTTCTGCTATTGCACACATTAATTTCCCCCAACATTTTTTTCCTCTGAATGGAAGGGATTGCTTCAAATTCCACATAAGTGGGCAGATGTGACACAGAGAGTCTGAATATTGGGATCCAGGCATGTAGGCTGGACTTTTTCCAAAAGCCATTTAAGGAGGATTTCTTCTATGTAGGCCACACACACTAGGAACCCTAATTTCCTCTTTAGACATCAGCTTTCTAGTTTTCATTGTATTGCTACAATGCCAGTTGCTGTGACCATGAGTGGTGATGGTGGTGGGTGTTCTAGGAGAGACTGATGGGCCAAGAGAACAATGGTCTAGTGAATTATTTTGATTATTTCCATGCAACTCGATCCTACTCTCTACCTGTGACCATGAGTTTAGTGTTTCTCTACTGCCCAAATGAACATCTCCCTCTTGTGTTATAGCTTCTCCCCTATCCATTTCTGACTGCAGGTTCTTCTACCCTTGCTCACCTATCAGTGTAATTGCTTATGTAGAAATTTATCACTCCAAAATCTTCTGAAGTCTTTCCTTTTATATTTATTCACGTCATCTCACTGGAATTTTGTGAGGTAAGTAAAGCAGGTGATCCACTCACTCATCTTAAACTAGAAGCAGCAGTGTATTCTTTAAACAGTGCACCTTGAAAATAAGGTGCCTATATTTTTCACATTGGATTGGAGAAAGGAAGTTCCTAACAATGAGGCATAAAAGATAATAGATTGGGGATGTTTAGAGTGTCCTAAAGATTCTAAGGAGAATAGCTGGGACCTAGGAAGAAAATGTTCAGAACTATTTCTTGTCTAGAAAATGAGGTTAAAATTTTTATTATTGTTACAAAATATAGATCTAACATTGTGCTTTGAACTCTAGTTTCTTTTTGAATGTTAGCTTTCTATATTATTCATAGTAGGCCTGTGGTACTAACATGTGACAGACAATGCTGCTTATGCTTTAAAGTACTCCTGCCCTTTTTATTTTGTGAGCTATGATGATGTAAGTGAATACAGCCTGCTCTTCATTGTACAAGATTCTGTAAGATGCAGCTGTGGTCTACTGAAAAAAACAGAAATTATACATTTTCATTTCTTAGGCTTACCCACTTATAGAAAACTTATAATTACATCTAATAATTAAGTCTTCAGAAAAATTTTAATTTTTTAATGCAAAAAAATTAAAAATGAAAGAAAAATTAGAGAGGATTCTTATTCATTCATTCATTTATTCATTTATTTAAAATAGGCTCCACACCCAGAGTGGAGCCCAACATGGGGCTTGAACTCATGACCCTGAGATCAAAACCTGAGCTGAGATCATGAGTTGGATGTTTAACCGACAGCTACCCAGGTGCCCCGAGAAGATTCAAATTTTAATGATTGAAGACCACTCTACACAAAGATCCAATCAGGAAAAAATCCTTTTGATTAGACTGCATAATCTGTTGCCTCATTACAAAATATTTCCTATATCTACAGATAGTTAATTAAAAATAAGACAGTCTCTTCAACAAATGGTGCTGGGAAAACTGGACAGCAACATGCAAAAGAATGAAACTGGACCACTTTCTTACACCATACACATCACTCATCATCAGGGAACTACAACTCAAAACTACAATAAGATATCACCTCACACCTGTCAGAATGGTTAAAATCAACAACACAAGAAACAACAGGTATTGGTAAGGATGTGGAGAACAAGAAAAAAATCTTGCACTGTTGGTGGGAATGCAAAGTGGTGCAGCCACTCTGGAAAACAGCATGATGTTCCTCAAAAAGTTAAAAACAGAACTACCCTATGATAGAGCAATTGCATTAAGTACTTACCCAAAGAATACCAAAATACTAATTTGAAGGGATACAACACATGCACCTTGCTGTTTATAGCACCATCACCCACAATAGCCAAATGTCCATCCACTGATGAATGGATAAAGAAGTTGTAGCACACACACACAAACACACGTGCTTGTGCACGCACTGAAATATTACTCAGCCATAAAAAAGAATGAAATCTTGGGGCACCTGGGTGGCTCAATCGTTAGGCATCTGACTTCGGCTCAGGTCATGAACCCAGGGTCCTGGGATCGAGCCCCACATTGGGCTCCCTGCTCAGCAGGAAGCCTGCTGCTCCCTCTCCCACTCCCCCTGCTTGTGTTCCTGCTCTTACTATCTCTCTCTGTCAAATAAATAAATAAAGTCTTTAAAAAAAAAAAAAAGAATGAAATCTTGCCATTTGCAATGGCATGGATGGAGCTAGACAGTATGACACTAAGCAAAATTAGTCAGTGAGAGAAAGACAAATACCATATGATTTCACTCATATGTGGAATTTAAGAAACAAAACAGATGAATATAGAGAAAAAACAAAGACAGATGAACCAGAAAACAGACTCTTAACTGTAGAGAACAAACTGAGGGTTACTGGAGGGGAGCTGGCGGGGGAGGAATGGGTTAAATTATTGACGAGTATTAAGGAGGGCACTTGTGCTGAGCACCAGGTATTGTATGTAAGTGATAAATCACTAAATTTTACACCTGAAACTAATGTTACACTGTATATTAACAAACTGGAATTTAAATAAAAACTTGAAAAAGATATATGGAAAATCAAAAAAATGTATACCTTAAAGTAATATTACAATGTATGTTAACTAACTGGAATTTAAATAAAAAGTTTAAAAGTTCTGATAAAAAAGTAAGACTTTACAATGGTAAAATTGTGAACATTAAACTTACACAGCTTGTCTAGTATGGGAAATGATATTTTCTCATTTAAAATACTTTCCAAAGTATATTGAATCTCCCCTAAAGTTGTAACATGAGCTCCTGGATTGGTATGAGTTTAACTTTCATATGTAGATGTGATGGACACAGATAGAGAGATATTTGTATATATGGATGTTTCTTTTGCTGCTCATAATTCTAGACTGCTATATCTATTCTTCCTCACTTAGTTGCGAATTGCAAGCCAATAAACTTGACTCTCACTGATTCAAAACCAAACACACTGTTTATCTTTCATACTATAAATATTCTTTATATCTCATTTTAGTCATTGACAACATCTCTTTCCCCAATGAATATTGTTAACAGAATGGCAAAATAAACATAAATCTGTCTCACAATATTTGCATACTTTTGATGGAGACACTTAAAAGCAATACTATGGCCACACAATAAAGATGGGAAAGGAGAAGAGAAGCGAAGCCCCAAGTTTCATACTTTTTATTTTATCTTCATTTTATTTTTTTTACCAAATGCATGTGTCTCTTTGTGTTTTCCCTTATGAATATCCTTAGATAGCATGACTTCCACATATTTTTTTTTCTTGTTTGAATTCTCCCTGAATATCATTCTCGCTCAAGGTGCCTTTCTTTCCTTTTACAAACATACACAAAATGTCTGTACTTAAAAAATCTTCTCTTTATTTCTACCATACTTTTCAATATCCCTTTTTTTCTTTCAAATCACCTAACTTCTTTGAAGGACAATATGTATCTACTCTTTAATTATCAATTGTTCAACTACCTACAATCTGTATTCTCTTTCTATCTCTTTCTAGATGATGCATCTTTGACTACAATCATGGGTCTTTTCTCAATTTTTTTCTTCTTCACATTTCTGCAGCATTTCAGAACCAGTGAGAACTTCTTTGAGGTGCTATCTTTCTTTCTTTCTTTTTTTTTTTTTTTTGGCTTTTGTTACATCATACTTTTCACTTGGAAGGCAGTGTATCATCATTTAGAGTTTTCCAAAGTATATTCTATGGAAAACAAGTTGCTCAAGATATTAATGGCCAATACAAGAAGAAACATTTTTTCCATGGTCAAATGGATTTGAGAAACATCAAATTAGTTAGAACGAAACAGGTCAGTTTACTGAAGAATATCTGGAAACTTTTAGTGAAAGAAAAAAAGATTTCAGAAGCACAGAAAAATATAGTCCTCAGTTTTCCAGACCTACTGGAGTACAGAACCCTATATTTGTGGAGCATCTCTACCGTTTCATGTAAAACTTTTGGAAATGTTAATTTAGTGGTTAAGAATATAGTTTGGGGAATCTGGTACACATGGATTCAAACCTGGCTCTGAAACTTTTATCTGTAAGACTTTGTGCATAGTATTCATTTCCTCTATTGTTAAATAATAGCTAACATTTATTGCACTCTTGTTATATGCTCAGCACTTTTCTGTAAGCTCTATACATATTAGCTAATTTAATCACTGGAACAATATTTAGGTAGAAATTATCTACATTCTTTTTTTTTTTTTAAAGATTTTATTTATTTGAGAGAGAGAGAATGAGAGACAGAGAGGATGAGAGGGAAGAGGGCCAGAGGGAGAAGCAGACCCCCTGCTGAGCAGGGAGCCCGATGTGGGACTCGATCCCAGGACTCCAGGATCATGACCTGAGCCGAGTCGCCCAACCAACTGAGCCACCCAGGTGCCCAGAAATTATCTACATTCTATAAATGGTAAAACTAAAAGTTTAAGTAACATGCCCAAACTTAAGGAGTCCCTCATTAGAATGTATGCTAAATGAATTAATAAATTAGTTTAAACCATATGAAATTACCATTTTTGTGTGTCATAAAATGTCAAATATAGGCAATTTCATGTATCTAACCTCTATAAAATGCTTTGGGTTTCTAGGAACAGAGCAAGCCTTCACATTACTGTGCTTTTGTGGGTTTTTTTTTTTTTTTATCTGTTGATCAGGAACTTATCTCTGTTCAATTTCTCTGAAACCAATCCCCTAACTGGCTGTACATGGGCATTCCCCAAGTACCCATCATTCACCCTTGTGGCTCTTAATCCTCATTCATAGTGATCATATCTTCTCTATGGCTCACTTGTTATCTCTATTAGAATGACTCAACGTCTCGGTAGAACCACAGAGCTATAGAGTGTTAGAGGTTGGAGGAAATGTAGACATTATTTAGTCTAAGCCCTCCATTTTACAAATAAATGAAATTTCCTTCCCAAACTTCCAGATATGCATTTAAACCTGCCTACTGGGAGGGAAAAAAAAGTAGAAAAATGCATCTACCCTTTCTATTAAATGTGTCCAAAATTGAATTCACCATTGAATTGAGTTGAAGTCACCTGAATTCTCTGCCCCACGTATTAAGACTCCCCCCCTGGTTTCCTTATTTTTGTCTTCATCATTCCCCAGTTACCCAAAATGAACTTCGAAACCAAGAATGAGGCCCTCTTCTTAGCTTCAAATCACCCATTCTTACGTATGTTTTCACTGCAGTGTCTTCCCTTTCTATCCCTTTTCTCCAACTGCATTGCCATTCTCTGACCATTCGTTTGTTCATTTATTTTCCTTCATCCTTTATTCATTCAATCCTATTCCATTCCCTACTCATTGGTTAGCACTGGACTAGGTGTCTTGGATGACGTGGAGATAGATCAGAGAAGAGATTTTTCCATAGTAGATTATCTCCCATCCAGACTTCCACCTGGAAGATACTTGATTACTCCTTCCCTATCGATCCCAAATTCTCCCTGGTTTCTGATTTAATCCCTCCAGTAAAAGTCCATCTTTCTTTTTCATCACTGTTAATTCATTCTTAGTTTAAAAAATAACTCTAATTCACCTCTTTCCCCTCAAATTCTCAAAGTTTTCCACTTGCCTTTCCAACTATCATCTCCAACACATCTCCAAACTACCTTCCCACCTCTAGGTCCCCTACTGCCCTACCAGTAACCTGAAGACCACTCAAACTGGCTCCCTTACTCATGCCTACAGCCCCCTTTCTTCCCCACCCATGTCTTTACTCACATCTTTCTCTCTGCATCTGTCAACTCTCCTTTCTGTGACCTCAATCTCACAAAATTCAAATCATTCTTTTAAGTGACACCTCAAATGACAACTATTCCTTGGAAATTATCTTAACTCTCAAATATGGCTTTTTCTTGCTCTGTGTCCTCGCAGGTTTTCTTTTATTACTGTTATAGCACTTATTGCTTGCCACTTAGTTTTAGACTTTACTTACAGTGTAGTTTGTAACTCACTTATTGATCTTCATATCAATCACAGGTCTCACATACAGTGAGTAGCCATGTGGTCAAGACTTTTGGGTTCTGAATGACTTAGCATACGGGTCTCATTTTCCTTGGCTGTAAAATAGGAATAATAACACCTTTCCAAATACTTTTTGTCAAGAATAAATGAGACAAATACATTATTTAGTGTGGGCCATGTAGCGGATACACATAGTTTTGGTTTACTTTCTCAAATACGATGAATTAAAAACATATGCATTTGAATTATCTCAAAATATTTGAAAAATATGACATAGATTTTATCTGAAATAAAATGATGCCATATGCTTACATTTGAATAAATTAGGCCAGAAAGAGAAAAAAGAAGTCCCTGGACTTTTTTTTTTTTTTTTTACCTTGCATTAATCCCAGTAATCCATAGATGTTAAGTTTATTGCTTCTTATTTGCTTCCATTCTGTGAACTCATTCTTGTATTTCGCTTCTTTTACCCAGGCACTAAGCCATAGATTCTGTCCAATGCCCACCAAATTCTGCCCGAGGTAAGCAGCCACACTCAGCCACACCCAGAGCCAGCCGAAGGCTTGGAGGTACTTCAGAATGATTGAGAACTTCACCTAAAGGCAAAATTAATGTGGAATTAGATTACTGTGCTTAAAGGTCAGACAAGGTAGATTTAAATCCTACATGACATTTCTTAAGCTTTGTGATCTTGGTCAAGTTACTAACTCCTCTAACTCCCAGATGACTCATCTGTAAGTTGGAATTTTAACAGTAGTCACCTTATAAGTACATCTAAAGTGCCAGCATAGTCCTGAGTGCTTAAAAATGATGCATGTTCAAATAATATTGGTTACTATCATTAGTAAAAAAGAATATACATAGCTAAGTAACATGCAATCCTAATTAAACACCACTATAATAAACCAACGGTTCCATTTAATGTAATTTCTTCAAACTACTATATAGTAACCCTCCTCAAATGAAAAATATATGATATTTATTAATAATGCAATGCAATCTTTTGTATTTGCATGGTTAATAACAAATAATACTAGTAATTCTGGTGCTTACCCCACCAATAGGGATCTTTTCTTTTTTCATTGAGAACTGTTTTCCTTGATCCAGTGAGGGCCTAATAAAGCAAGACAATGTACATTTTGTAGTTTTCAGATCAACCACGTTTTTTAAAGTTATACATTGTCAACCATTTTACTGCATAATCTTCTGCCCTGATAACATTGTTCCTTTAATCTTTTCAAATGGAGATTCTTTATCTTCCCATATCCCATATATTTTAAAGTCAGAACATATAGTCTGATTTTTTACTGCTTCTTCTAGATAATTATCCTTCAAACTTGAGCCAAATCCCCAGATTATTTAAGCTAATGCTACCCAGTTGTACCATACTCTATGTCTTCTCATCTACTTGCCTCCTGGCCTATCAGGACTAGCACCAAGGGGCGCCTGGCTGGCTCAGTCAGTAGAGCGTGCAACTCTTGATCTCAGGGTTGTGAGTTTGAGCTCCAAAGTGGGTGTGGAGCCTACTTAAAAAAAAGAATAGAAAACAGAGCTACCATACGATCCAGCAATTGCACTACTGGGTATTTACCCCAAAGATACAAATGTAGGGACCCGAAGGGGTACGTGCACCCCGACGTTTATAGCAGCAATGTCCACAATAGCCAAACTATGGAAAGAGCCAAGATGTCCATCGACAGATGAACGGATAAAGAAGATGTGGTGTATGTATATATATACAATGGAATATTATGCAGCCATCAAAAGGAATGAGCTCTTGCCTTTTGCAACAACGTGGATGGACCTGGAGGGTGCTATGCTGAGTGAAATAAGTCAATCAGAGAAAGACATGTATCATATGACCTCACTGATATGAGGAATTCTTAATCTCAGGAAACAAACTGA